CCATTCATGTCTATTGGGCTTTCAATTTCAGATATCCACAATTACATTTCAGATATCTAGAATTAACATTCTGGATATCCGAAATTAAATTCTTACTAGGAAAAACTCCTATTTCATATATCTACAATGCAATTGTTACTAGTCATAATATTAATTTCAGATATCCGAAAGGATTCCACCATTTTAGATATTCATAATGTCATTTCGAATATCCGAAATACATTGTGACTAGCAAAAATGTCTTTACGGATATCCAGAATTCATATTATAACTAGTAAAAATGCAATTTCAGATATCTACAATTAGAATTATGACTAGGAACAATGAAATTGCAGATATCTACAATTGTATTGTGGATATCTGTTGAAGAGTAGATAAGACGCTGTTTTAACATAAAAACGATCCATTTACTATCCACAATTACATTTTAGATATACAGAATATCATTTCTCCTAGTCAAAATTATATTCTTACTAGTCAGAATGGCAATTGCAGATATCCACAATTACATTCTTACTAGTAGAAAATGTATTTCAAGATATCTAAAACTTAATTTCTCCTAGTCACAATTCCATTTAAGATATCTTTAAATCTTTACAAAGTATAAGTGGCCGTTTTGACATTTAATCGCTAGATTGGATATGTATTGCAGATATCCACAATGACATTCTCTCTATCCACAATTGCCATTTCAGATATCCACAATGTCATTCTTCCTAGGAGAAATTACGTCACTTTTGCCATTAATGTCTATTGGGCTTTCAATTTCAGATATCCACAATTACATTTCAGATATCCAGAATTAACATTCTGGATATCCGAAATTGAATTCTTGATAGGAAAAATGACGCGTCTTCCGCCAGTATGTTTCCCTGTCGTCGTCATTTCAAGATATCTAGAATGGCGGTGCGACGTACATCCGGGAAAAATATATAAAAATGTAAGCCAGCTAAATTATTGATGCCATCCATACTATTGCTATGACAGTTCTCTATAAATTCCTTATTACAAATACATTAATAACTACATACGTTTTAATAGAAAGCTAATAACTTGCACAGTAAAATATAAAACGTTCTTTGTTTCGTCCGCCTCACGTTGCTGAATATACAGTTTTTGCTGTTAATGCAGCAGAACAGAAAGTGATCAGCATGATACGTTTAGCTCATCTGCACGGTTCAGCACAAATACAGACTCCGGTGCAATTAAATCAGTATATTAGCCGGGTTTACTAGTTTTGCTCCAGTTTCATTTTTGATTTGGTCACCCAGATCTGGTCTGCTGACAGACAGACAGCTAGCGCAAGCGGCGTGTTGAGGGGCTGTCAGCTGTTCGCAGTCAGTGCATGGGACGGTCATTCATTCACAAAATGCATAATTTTGACCAGAGCATGCTCCTCCAGCTCCCCCCACTCACAGCCACTTCGCTCATTATCACCCCCCTCTCGGGTCAATTTTAATCGCGCTCCAAGGAAATCGCTCACCGCTGTCTCCAAGAACGAAAGTTTTAGCCTTAACTTTAGCCTGGCATAAAAATAAATGAGCAGTCAAATCCACATTCAAGTAGAAATTGTTTATTTCTGGGTCAGTCATGCTTCAGACACAGGGTGTGAGTTGGTCTGGTTCAGCTCCGGTGTTCCGGGCAATTCAGTTTCCCTATGTTTCCTCTGTCGCGCGCTGATTTGTACACTGTTTCGCTGTTGTTTTTATGTCTTTTTAAGAAGCTCTTGAGGTAAACAAGCCATACTGTATATTTTAAAACATCACATGCCTTTTCGATGTCTTTTGTTTTTACAGATAATAAATTAAAGTATTTAATTCGCTGGATAGAGATATTTCTTGATGAAAACGGTATAGTATTGCTTATATAAGACTATATTATGCGTGACCATCTACTGTATTCACATGTAATAATGTACCTGAGTGATTTTCAGACATCTCACATACATATTTGCCTAAATATTAGGAGAAACATTATTCCCTGATAGACAGGGGAAACATAGGGGAACCGAATTGCCCGGAACACCGGTATACGAAAGTGGAGCGAGGTGACGCTAATTGTGGATAGTCAATGGACCCATTTTATGTTAAAACGGCGTCATATCTACTCGTCAACAGATATCCATAATACAATTGTAGATATATGCAATTGCATTGTTCCTAGGCGTAATTCTAATTGTAGATATCTGAAATTGCATTTTTACTAGTCATAATATGAATTCTGGATATCTGTAATGACATTTTTGCTATTCACAATGTATTTCGGACATTCGAAATGACATTATGAATATCTAAAATGGTGGTATCCTTTCGGATATCTGAAATTAAAATTATGACTAGTAATAATTGGATTGTAGATATCTGAAATGGGAGTTTTTCCTAGTAAGAATTCAATTTCGGATATCCAGAATGTTAATTCTAGATATCTGAAATGTAATTGTGGATATCTGAAATTGAAAGCCCAATAGACATGAATGACAAAAGTGACGTAATTTCTCCTAGGAAGAATGACGTTGTGGATATCTGAAATGACAATTGTGGATAGGAAGAATTGAATTACGGATATCTGCAATACATATCCAGTCTAGCGATTAAATGTCAAAACGGCCACTTACAGTATACTTTGTAAAGATTTAAAGATATCTTAAATAGAATTGTGACTAAGAGAAATGAAGTTTTAGATATCTTGAAATACATTTTCTACTAGTAAGAATGTCATTGTGGATATCTGCAATTGCCATTCTGACTAGTAAGAATATAATTTTGACTAGGAGAAATGAAATTATGTATATCTAAAATGTAATTACGGATAGGAGTGTGACTTGATTAAATGTTAAAACGGCTTGCCATAGCAGAAGACTTGCTGCCTATTAGTTTTGTTGAAGGTGAAGGTTTTAAACGTTTAATGAATTACGTTGAGCCCCACTATACTGTCCCATCGCGCAAAACGGTCACTGCAAGGATTGCGGGGCTTCAGTTGCCGTTGTTTTAAAGTGACGGGAGAAGCGCATCCACTACTTAATGATAGGCACGTAGTTCAAGCTCACATGCATTTTGTGTAGATAAATAGAATTTGTAATATAACATTTACACATTTATGTATGTAGGCTATGTGATTAATTTTATATACAATGCGTCATGTAGAAAAAGCGCTTCAGCTTCACCTCATGCTGTTACTTCTTTTAAATGTTTACTGTATACTGTGACGCAAACGCCCCGCACCCTTGCATAAACTCCACCCCCGATTAATCGAGTACTCGTTTCTCATACCTGTGGATTACTCGAAATGAAATATGATCAAAAATGCCCATCCCTAAATAAAATACATTTAAAAATAAAGATTTCTTATTAATTATTTTAATATCATTAATAATAAACCATTAATACATTTAATTAAAATAATATTGTCGTGCCGAGCGGGGACGGAACGGAGACAAAGGCTCAGACGTCAGGGTATCGGGGAATACGGGGTTTAATTACAGGTAAGGCAGGAAAAATGCAGATGGACAATACAATGACCGGACTGGGGAAACAAACTGAAACGCGGACTAAATACAGAGGGCTAATGAAAACAACCAGAAACAGCTGATCACATGGGGATTCCAAACGGGGTTAACGAGGGGGCGTGGCACACGGAAGGAGCGGACGATAGAGGTAGGAAAGATTGTTTGGATACATTTGTTTTCTTACTTTACAAATTACTGTTTTGATAAATGTGCTTAGATGTGTTTAGTACAGTATATGCTCTTTTTTATCCGGTTCATTTTGTGCTTAAATGCTAAAAAAAAAACATATTTCGGTGTAATCTTTTGGGGTCGGGAACCAATTAATTGGTTTTCCATTATTTCTTATGTAGTTCTGAAGTTTGAAGTTTGAGTTCTGAGGTACCACTGTA